GACCCTGAGTGGCCACTGGCCTGTACTGGCCCTCCAAAACCATTTGGTCATCAGAGGCCAGCCCAATATGATCCCTTACAGGCCAGTGTGGAGCTCTCGGAGGTCAATGTGGGCCCTCAGAGCCCAGTGCGAGGCACCCAAAGTTCAATCTTGAGCCCCCAGCGACCGGAATGGGTTCATCAGAGGCTAGTGTGGGTCCCTCAGAGAAGCCCGATTCGGGGCCCTCAGAGGTCGGTGTAGGGCCCTCAAAGACCAGTATTGGCCCTCAAAGGCCTGTATGGGGCCCCAGGCTCAGAGGCCGATGTGGGCCCTCAGGGACCAGACTAACCTGACACCCCAGAGACCATAATAGGGCCATCAGTGGCGGTGTAGAGACCCCATAGACCGGCTGGGGCCCATTGAGGCCAGTTTGGGGCCCTCAGAGTCCAGTGTGGGGCCTGTTATAAGCGACAGTAGGGCTCCCGCTTGCATTGTGTCTCGAACAAGACTGGTCCACATTCCAACCGCGCCCGCTGACCCCAGCCGCTGACCGCTGACCAGCAGGGGTCGGTGTTGGACCCCAGAGGTCAGCATAGGGCCCTCAGAGGCCGATGTGGACCCTTAGAGACCGGCATCGGGCCTTCAGAAGTCAGTACGGCCCTCGGGGACACCCAAAGGCCAGTCTTGGGCCCCCAGAAAAAGAAATGAGGCCATTAGAGGCGTGAACCCCCAGAGACCAGTTTGGGTCTACTTGGGAGCGCTCGAGACCAGTACAGGGCCCTCAAAGGCCAGTTTGAGGCCCACAGAGGTCGATGTGGGCTCTTAGTGACCGGCACCCAAAGGTCAGTCCTGAACCCCAGAGACAGAAATGAGGCCATCAAGAGATCAGTGTGGGGCCCTCAAAGGCCGGTTGGGGGACTCCTGATGCCGCTTTAGGGCCAGTGGAGGGCCCTGAGAGGTCGATGTGGGCCCTTGAAGGCCACTGAAGCGCCCTCAGAAGTCAGGAAACTCAAAGACCGGTATGAGGGCTGTTACATAATACCTGGCGTTGGTTTCTTGAGCCTCGTGACAATCGGGTAAGAGCCAGGGCCCCTACGCCCATCGAGGCCCATCGGTTGTTTAAGGGGGCAAATTATATGATGGCCCCTGATTTGTCTTTGGGGGGCCATGGCCCTGATGCCCCCTGCGACCTCCACTGGGCACCACCCCCACCCCCCACTGAGCGGTGAGCGGCGCACCAGGAATCGAAATCCACGATTTTTTAACTGGTCATTTTTGCATGTCCGACAGCTCTATACGGCCTTGTGACAGCTCAAGCTCTTGAGAGGACAGTCCACAGCATAAGTAATGTGCGGTTTCAGTCCTGGGTATGTTCTGCTTCTGAAGCTTAGGAATGATTAGCCAGACCACCATGAAACTTTGAATGTAGCTAGCCTGTATCGTTGTCCTTGCAGCTGCAACTTTATCTATTGACGTCTTCTTTTCGATCACTCCGCATTAAAAAATCGACAGTCAAAGCCATCCATTGAGATTGGTAAAACCACACATTACTTTAGCGGTGGGCTGTACCTACATTAGAGGGGGCGGCGATGGCATTTGCACTTGAGGCGGCAGCGCCTACACTTAGAGGGGGCGGCACCTACATTTTATGGGCAGCACCCTAACTTGAGGGACGGCACACAAACTTGAGGGGCGGCACCCACGCATGGGGGGGCGGCATCTATCTACATGTGAGGGAAAGGCACCCCTTTCAAGGGGTGGCACCTACACTTAGGGGGTGGCACCTACATTTGAGGGGGCTGCACTGCAACTAGGCCTTAGGGGGCGGCAGCTACACCCTAGGGGGTGCCATCTACATTCGAAGGGACGGCACCTACATTTTATGGGATGACCGATGACACCTATGCATAAGTGGCCGGGGCCGACATTTGAGGGGGCGGCGCGGCACCTTCATTCGAGGGGGCGGCACCTAAATTCGAGGGGGCGGCACCTACATTCGAGGAGGGCCAGCACCTACATTCGAGGGGGCGGCACCTGCATTCGAGGAGGGCCGGCACCTACATTCGAGGGGGCGGCACTAACATTTGAGGGGGCGGCACCTACATTCGAGGAGACAGCGCCTACATTCGAGGGATGACATTTACATTTGAGGGGGCGGCACCCACATTCTCGCACCAACATTCGAGGGGGCGGCACCTACATTCGAGGGGGCGGCACTTACATTCGAGGAGGGCCGGAATCTACATTCGAGGGAGGGGGCGGCACTAACATTTGAGGGGGCGGCACTTACATTCGAGGGGGCGGCACCTACATTCGAGGGGCGGCATTTAGGTACATTTGAGGGGCGGCACCAACATTCGAGGGGGTGGCACCTACATTCGAGGGGGTGGCGCCTACATTTAATGGGCGGCGCCTACATTCGAGGGGGCGGCACCTACATTGGAGGGGGCGGCACTTACGTTTGAGGGGGCGGCACCTACATTCGAGGGGCGGCACTTGCATTCGAGGGGGCGGCACCTACATTCGAAGGAGCGGCACCTACATTTGAGGTCTGAGGAGGCGGCAACTACAATAGATAGTTGAGGGGTGACTATTGCTTCATGATGGGGAGGGCTCTTTTGAAAGATGGTGCCAAGTCAACGGGTGGCATAGAGTTTTGTGATGGCTCAGGGTTATGGGGGCGGCACCATTCGAGGCGCCCGCCGATTTATTTCAGTTGTAAAGTTGGGGTTGCACAAACCGATGTTGGGGTTGCAAAATTCAAAGTTGGGGTTGCACGTGCAACCCCAACTTAATATAAAAATCCACCCCTGCGTCCAGCAAGAGGACTTCAAGACCTGGAGTGACGTCTTCCGCATCGCCGGACGAGGACGACAAGCCGTCCGCGGCTGCGCCGGTGCACACCCGCAACGGCCGCCGCGTGCAGTTCCGGCCGCAACCGGACTTCCGATACTTTTAAGTGCGCCCGCGTACGTGCGTTCGAGGACGATCCTGATCGCGTGGCGCCGACAGTGAAGTGATAACTGCGTCGCGCGGTGTAGTGATTCTTGCGTCGCGCAGGACCGTGCAGTGACAATTGCGTTGCGCCGTACCGTGTAGTGATTATTGCGTCGCGCAGTGAAGTGTCGATTGCGTCGCGCACCGCACCGAGTGATGTGAAAAGTGATTGTTTTGGCTTATCGTGTATGCGCTCCGCGCTGAGGCGGTGAGTACTGTGGTAACCACGTGTGTCGCCGGCCGGCACGGGAGTTCCCGGCGCAGACCGATTCGCGCGCCGACTTGTGACGTCGCTACCCCCGCCCCGGCGCTGGGGAGGCGGCCCAGGACGTGTCTGTTCGTGAACTTTGTCCCATCACGATGCGACCGCGTGTCTGCGGCCTGCGCTGCCGCAGTGCGTCGGCCAGTGACCAATCCGCGCTCCGATCGGCAGCCACGTGGTGTCCGAGTGCTTCTGCGCATGTCTGGACCCGGCCCGCTGCGTCGGGCCGCGCGCTACCCCGGGACTTCTGGCCGAGCTCTTGGCCCGAGCAGACGCGTCACGTCTGGCTCCGCGATTTGGCCCGTTCTGTCCGGGATTTATAACTTAGATTAGGCAGGGCATATTTGGCAAACTTGGATTTCATTCTCGTCTCTTCGTCGCTCCATTGTCTGATTCGCTGTTTTGGTTTTTGACTTGGTTTTGGAACTTTAAATATAACAACCCGCTCTTTTAATTAATTCTTTTACTTGGGGCCGTTTGGATCGAACTGATTGAATTTTTGGAACACGCACCAGGTTGATATTCTCCATTTCTGATTAACGTAAAATCCAGTCACTGATATGTGGTGAACAGCCCCACTGCACCACAAATGCCACCGCACATTTAGTTTAAGCATTTGCTACTGCAATGCTGTACCTACATGCCCATAGCACCGTTAGATAACCTGACAGAATAAAGACAGCAGCACTGGCGCCTGGCGGACCAGTACGCTTGGGCGGACGGTAGGACCCAACATCCTCGCGGAAATCGTCATCACTCTCCAATCTCCATGCTAAGAACCTCGCTCAGTTCACTCTTGGACAAGAAAAGGCAGGATGATCGGCACACGCTGAGGCTGTACGTAAATCAATCTATCCAAATTCCTTGCCAAATCCGTCCAAGAAGCGCGCCTTGCGTCCTATGGTCCTCTCAAAACGCATGCGCCGAAACAGACGCTAATCGACCTGGCAACAAACAATCTGTAGCTAGTACAGACTAGTATTGTAGTTTATTTCTCCATAATATACTAAAATCCTTCTAGATTTAGTAGGGATGCCTAAACATCTACCAAAAATAGTGCGAAATGACTACCATTAGGTGCCATTCGAACTAAAAGTACTGCGAATTAGACTGAAAGTAGTGCTAAAGTTCCTCAAATAGGTGTCATAACTGGTTAGGTGCTAAATGACCCTGTTACCCTAGTGAAAAAATCCTACAGGATTTGTACCAAAATCCTGTACGTCCCTACAGGGTCGTGCAGGGTTGCTGGAGTAGCCGTACAGGATTCCATGCAGGCAAATATGGCTGTACATGGAATCCTACAGGGTGCCCTGCACGACATCCAACAGGGGACCCTGTACTGAATCCTACAAGGAGCCCTGTACGGCATCTGATAGGGAGCCCTATAGGGAATCCTACAGGGCCCTGTAGGGAATCCTTCAGGGAGCCCTGTATGCAATGATACAGGGAGCCCTGTGCGCAATCATACAGGGAGCCCTGTGTGCAGTCATACAGGGAGCCCTGTACAGTGTACGCAGTCATACAGGGAGCCCTGTACGCAGTCATACAGGGAGCCATGTACGCACCTGCATGTGAAAAAGTCTTATAAGATTTTACCAGAATCTTCACTATCTTGCATGATCTTAAAAGATTTTGAAGACAGTCTTGCAAGGCCTAGCAGAGCTTGTACAAGATTGGCCAACATCATAGGTACAGATCTTATAAGAATCTGGCATAGGCAGATTCTTGCGGGAATGCTGATTCTGGTAAGATTGAAGAATCTTACCAGAATGTGCTGATCCCATGGAAGGCTACTCCCGCTAATCGTTTTTCGCACAAATCATAATTAAAGAGCTCGCTCAACTCTCAAGCAAATGCGATCATTTACTCCACACGGACTACGTGGAGAACAGTTATAAACGATGCACCTGTCAAGTAAAGTATGAGGAGTACCTACCTCATAGGGAGAAATGCCTCGCCCCGGTGCGGTGATATGTTGGACAATGGACGCAATGGACAATGGACAATCTGCAACCTACCGGGATTTATTCATCTCCTCGGAACGGTACTGCTCATTATTAGAACTGGCGGGGACATAAACATTCGGATGTTGTTGTCAATATTGTCCCGATATATAGGGAAGTACGAATTGTGAATTGATCCCTATAAAAGAATCGATTCACTTCATAACTCCCTAATCCCTTCATAACATTATCAACTTAATTTGACGCGTTGCTGTACTGTATTATTCGGGGACTAAAGTGTGCATTTGTGCGCTGTGGTGATCTTTCAGAGACTGTACCGACTGGAATTTAGCGACCACTGTCCGTTTTAGAGACCGTACGGTCGGCGGCGGGCGTCCTGATCCTCGCCTGGGGCGGAGAGGGGAGCGCGCGTCCCCCTCCGCCGCATTCCGTCCGTCCCATTCACTGCTCGCTCGCGGTGTGCGGAGAGCCGACGGAAGTGTCGAGTGTGTGCCGTGCGGTGTCGTCTGCCATCTCTTCTTCCGACCTGAAGGTAAGTTTCTGCCATGCTGTATTGCTGTGTAAACAATACGAAAATTGTTCTCAATATTTGCAGCATTACAGACAAAAAAAATGGCGCCGAAACGTTCACTAAAAAATAGCTGATCGAAAAAGATAGCTGAAAAAATAGACATTTAAATGTCTACTATCAGATACCAGAGCGCATTAGTAGCGTCGACGCTACTACATAGTAGCACACAACATTAATTCAATATTAAAAATTGGTTATATCCAGGTTGATTGTCAACATTGAGGATCAGCCGTTTTTCGACATCGATCCAGCATTTACGAGCATTTACATCATTTACATCCAGCATCTCGTATTTCACGTTGAATTTGCGTTGTATTTGGTTGATAGGAGATTGATAGGTATGCAATATTGTGATACAACATCAAAATAATGTTGTATGCCGATCACTTTGTATCGCGTTGTATGTATCACTTATATGCCGATTAGTTACTTACGACGGCAGGGGTCCCTTCAATCAATATATTATCATTGTAACATGTGAATATCCACCTTGTTACAGGAACACAGGATGCGAGGATCGTCGGGCGACACTACCACTCGAGATTCGTAGATCGATGGACGGAGCGGCAGCCGCGACGCGACGACGTGTGTCGTAATGTGACGGGATGTGACCCGGAAATGGCTGTGTATTTATCCCAGAAATACATTTATTCCGAATATGACTTTGTCGGTAACGCGGAACTCGTGGGTCTTTTTAGCATTCCTGGTCAACCTCAACAGCACAATAACAAGATGCGGAATACTTATAGAATGGCGAGTGTGGTGCCCTGTACGAGATCCTTTACGATACCCTGTACGACACCGTGCACGGCACCCTGTACGACACCGTGCACAGTACCCTGTACGACACCGTGCACGGTACCCTGTACGACACGTGCACGGCATCCTGTACGACACCGTGCACGGTATCATGTACGACACCGTGCACGGTACCCTGTACGACACCGTGCACGGCACCCTGTACGACACCGTGCCACGGTACCTGTACGACACCGTACACGGTACCCTGTACGATACCGTGCACGGCACCCTGTACGAAACCGTGCACGGCACCCTGTACGACACCGTGACGACACCGTGTACGGTACCCTGTACGACACCGTGCACCCGGTACCCTGTA